CTTGATTGGATTCCAGTCATTAGCTAACTGTGCGCTGTACGCTTCAATCGTTCAGTACGGGTCAACAGCAACAGAACGAAGCGCCGATGCTTATTTGTTATATCGAGATATGCACCGAACGACTGCAGTGCACCTGAAATCAACGACTCTTGGCGACATGCAATCCTAGCTAACCAGACGGACAACGGAGAACGCCTAATCTAACTTCGCGCTGACCACGGTCTGTTCGTGTCAAGCACTAACTTCTCGCACAAGAAGCGACACCGCCAATCTGTTCACTGCGCTGGACTCAAATCGATCACATCGCGATCAGCTACAATTGGANGTCAACACTCGTGGATACGGACCATCATTTTGTTCCTTGCTAACTGACGTATTCTACTCAACTCGATGTGCTTCGGTAATCTCCTGCAGGAGGATGAACAGAATTCACGAAGTAACGAGGGAATTCGTGAAGATTGTGGTTGCCAACATCACAGTATATTGGCTAGTAAATAAACTAAAACAAACTCGTTTACTCTTCAAATGCATAAAGGGAAACAGGCCAGAACATGAATAGGATTTTGGATAATAGAAACAATATTATCACTGATCAGTAAAACATTCACAACCTCAAAAAATGCGACGGAATCGACTTACCGATCATACACCGGAACACGCCACGCCTCCTGCATTGTGATTACCTGTGTCGTGGTAAGTCGTGGCCAATTCAGGAAGACAGCTGTTGCTCGATCTATCCCAGAACTGTTGCCTGTGGAATACGCCGCATTGTCCTTTAAAGGTTGTCCAGCACAGTAGTTATGTACAGTTTGAGTGACCTCGGCCCACACACCTTCGGTAAAAAAGCGGTCTCGCCGCGGACGAGCGGAACGTACGTTAAAAGACACCTGATTGGTGGATAGGAGGTTATTGTTATTGAACAAACATAGTCCAATATCATCCGTTCACAAGCAGAACAACCTTGACAAACAATTACCGTGAAAATCAAATGAACAACATATGACTGAATAGAACCATACTTCCTGCACATGGAAAAGGAAGGTTAACTCGAAATAACCAGATATCGCGGCCTTTTCATGATCATAAACATCATCGTACAGCGAAATACAGAGGCGAACTTCACTGATCGCTGCCAAACTCGTGAT